CAGCTGCACGAGCTGCAGACAGGCATTAGAGGCGCTTTTAAGAAGTCTCACTGCGACGTATGTACATGAAAGTGTTTGGACAGTAAAGTATGAGCAAACAGTGGAGATTGATTGGGGAGTATTAGCTAAAGCTGCAGGACGCATAGCTGGGTAATGCCAGGATGACAGAACGGAGGAGAAGGATGTGCACGAACACACTGCTGGATTCATGCAAGCGGTGGCGAAGCAGCGTGTTCGATCACGTAGGAATAATTATGAGCCTTTTGTCTGGAGCGCTGTAACATGCACATGTCAAACCGTGCAGCGCATTTACATTCCTGCAGCTTCTCCTACCCGAGCAGTTCAGCCAAAGTGCAAATAGGAGGTTTCCTCATGCGCAGTGTCGGCCAGTAACCCCGCTCCAGAAGGTTCTCCAGCTTCACCTGAGGTAGCCGACTGGGTGGGAAGTGGCCGCTCCACACGTGCACACTGGTAGACCTACATCTGAGGACTCACCTGGTTCTGTGCAGAACTGGTGGATGTGAGAATCCTGCAGAAACTTTTCAAAAATGCACCAGACCTTTAACAGGAAGCATCAGAACATCAGGCCTGTTGTAGCCTCGTTATGCTGCCACCATGTTTTAGGACCGATTTTAAGATTTTATGGATTGTTTTCCAGAACCGAGAGGCTCTGGAATGATGTGAACATGGACATCAGGGCGGTGGAGTCAGTTGACTTTAATCTGAGCGTGTGTCCTGATTTTAAACTTCTTTGAACAATACTTTTACCTTTTTCAACACTGTATTGGTTTTTCTGCACCAAACTGTTTTTACTTGTCTAAAGGTTATTTATTTCTCAGTAACATTATCATTACAGAGTGACACTACTGAGGCTAAGCTAGTACCTCCAAAACTCAAACTGGCTGCTTGTTAAACCTCTTGCATCTTATTTTATACAATTCTGCAGCCTTTGCTTTGAATTTGGTGGAACTGCAATCGCATCGTATCGTGTGTGCAAAAATCAACACAGAAGACAGCATGAAAACGTGAAAAGTCAACCGTAAACTACAATAAAATAAACATGTAGATCAAGTTAGATGTTGCACGTTCTTGCTGTCAACAGTTTCTTTAGGAAACGGTTCCAATGAAGCCTGAAAATTTCAAAAATCCATCATTTTAGTGGAGTCACGGTCCCAAGTTACACCTCAGCTCCCTCTCAGGATGTGTGTCACTGAGGTATTTTTTATGAGCTGACCCTTTCTCAGTTTGTTCTTTCACACATTTTTGTCCTGGTTGGCTTCGACGCACACAAACACACAGATTGTGTTTCGGTGGGCTTTGAGCTGATCCAGTAGCTCTGATACCGTGAGGACAGAGTTTCACCTCATTGTCTTCATATTCCTCTTTGTTCCGACTCACTGCAGCTCCCAGTGTTCTGCTGCTTCACTTCTGTGTTGTGAGAACCAGTTTGAGACCTTCTTAGAGCGAGAACGTTTCAGCTCTTGTTGAGGTTTAGATCTGGGTTCTTGGAGAGAGTCCTCGCCGGCATCGTGTGCTCCTGCGGCGCTGCCTGCGCCGACACGTCCAGGTGTGGTCACGTGTGCGTTTCCTTCATCCTCTGATAATTCTTTATTGTGGCCGTGTTATTCCCATTGTCTCTCTGCTCTGTGTTCATGTTTCTCCCCCTGGAGCCCGGGCTTAGCGTCTGTTTGCCCGTATCATCCCTCATTTTGAACCCTGGGTGTGGACGGCGTGAATCGAACGGGGATCAGCGCTCGAGCACATCCCCGCCCTGCCCAGGTGGAGGCAGGATTACATCCCAGAACAATGCATCCCAGAATCCGCCGCTCTGTTCGAGAGAATAGACCAAAATAATGAGCGTAACTTTAGACTTGCTGCTTTATGGAGACTCTCTGCTGCTTTGGAGGCTTTTGAGCGTCTCCTAAACCGCATAAAGAGCTTTTTCCTTTTTTCCAGACTTGATTTTTAGCACCGTTAAAGCTCCAAACACTTGTTTTGCTTCTATTTTTAGCTTCTTGTCTCTTTCGCCTCTTTGCCAGGAGTTTAATCTGAGCTCCCTCCCTCCGTTTCTTTCACCCCTTTTTTTTTTTTTTTTTCCTCTGGCTGCCTTTCTCTTGTTTCGCTGCTCACTTTCTCTCTCTGTTGCCCTCCTTCTGTCATTGTGATTAGAGGAGTTGAGGAGATCAGAGGGAAGAAAGCAGGACCAGCACCACTGACCTTTCCCCTCCTTCTCTGTGTGCCAGCCTCGCTCCCTCGATGCTGTTTTCCTTTTCTTTCTCCGTGTTCGTGTTTGTTTGTGGCAGCAGCAGTTGTAGTAGCTGGCAGCAGTAATCTAAGGCTTCTCCTCTACCTACATACTTAAATAAAGCACTTTGCAAGTAATAATATTCACAGAAGGAACTTTGAATATCTGTTAGAAGACGTGTGCTGAGGGAAAAGGGGAACAAATAGTAAAATATCACCAAGTTTGTTAGTTTTTGAGGTTTTCTAAAAAGCTCAATACAAAACAAAATAGACACTACAAATACACAAATAGAGAGAGTTTGCAAACTGTCTCCAACCGCAGCCTGGAGAAGGAAAATCAGTCTCAGGCAAAGCACAAATCACATCAACGTGAACATCTTCAGATTATTTGTAGCATAAATAAAACTAAATATTGACAGCTGAGGTGACGGATCTCAAAGAGGACGAAGGTTGTTCCGTTCAGAAGAAGCTTTATGTTGAAGGATGTGTTTGACTTCTTCGAAACAAAGAAAAAGTGACTTTTGTTTTTTTTGCATTTGAGTCGATTGAACTGTTTCACCAGTTAGAAGTCATTGCTTTTACACGTCATCACATCAGCTGCTGAGGTAGATTTTAACACCTGTTGCACTTAAATTCCTGAGTAATGCACAACTGAACTAAACCTTGAAGCTGTTGGCACTGGACTTTTAAACACTCAGATGATGATCTTCACTGTGATGGTGTCAGAAGACTTGACAAATATGTTGTGGATGCATTAATTAAAAAAACAGGCTTTAATCGGAGTCGGTCTCTCAGACGATCCCATGTGGTGCCAGACTTTCCCAGGCTCTTTTGATATCCACGCTGGACCAGCTGAGGGTGTCTGACTGGGGTCCTGGAGGGTCCTGGAGGATCCTTGACCTCCATTATTACAGACTGTAGGCATATGAACTGATACTCGCCACGCTCTGGAGCACATTGAAGCTCTGACCTGCACACTTTCTCACCTCGTGGCGCTCCCTCCTCATCCGGCTTGTGTCCTTAACCTCCGCCAGACCCCAGCTGACACCCTTTTGTCCCTCCTCCTCTGCCTTCCTCTCTCCTCCCCACCGGCAGCCTTTCATCACTAATCGCAGAGAGATGTCCATCAGAGACCTCTGAGTCTGACCCTGATCCACGACTCAACGTTCACGCAGAAGCGATCAGGCCTGTTGATTAATTATGTTTCCGTCGAGGGGAAAGTGAGCAGCACACATTTCTGCAAAGTTTGAGATGCAAGAGATGAAAACACCCGTATTTCTGCTCACCGTGTGATCCGTGGGCCTCCCACCCGCAGACCCGACACGTGAATGGATGCATTTTGTGTTTTGTAGCTGAAGGAGCGTCGTGTGTGTGAACTAACGCCACTCATACGTCAGCTTATGAAAGCTCTGTCTGAAGCGCTGCGTGCCGTTTCACAGATATCTCAGGAATGCCACCCAGTGAACTAAAGGTTAATCTGCGGTTCACTTGGAGTTTATAAGCTGCAAACGGTGCGCATCGGACGGGGGGCGTGAAGGTCGGTTATGTGTCTCTATGGCGACGACAAAGACCATAAACTGTGGTCAAAAGCTGCAGAAATAAATAAGTGGACTTGGTGTTGAGATGAAGAATTTTCTGCAAATTTCTGTGACTTAAAGGTTCATAAATTCATAAATAATAAAGACAAACAGACGGAGTGCACGAATGAAGAGTTGAATCACGATGTGGTGTTTTTAACAGATGTTCTGCGACTTTTGACATCACCTCATTTCACCTGCGGAGGTTTTTCTCTTGTCATTGAATTGTTTTTATAAAACTCCTAATCTTGGAAACACCCTCGTGAGAGTAATCTATTAAATCACTACACTGAAGTGAGAGTGTTTTGCTGTTTAGAAACTAAAAGTTGTTGAGCTCTTGTTGTCATTGAACTGGTGCTGGATTATATTCAGATATTCAGTTTGTGCTTTTCGTAACTTTGTGATTTAAATTGTTTACGTCACAAAGAAATCATGTCATTACATCTTTAATTTGCATCATTGCTTTGAGAAAAGAGGACATTAAACATTGCAGAGACGTACATCTTTGAACGTGGGGGTATTGCGCTGCTGTGATTTGCACACAAACATGCCAAAGGTGGCAGCGACGGTGACGATGCTGCTGGCATCGCTGCTGCCTCCATTCTCCTGGTCAGAGGCTGGACTCTGGTTGTAGTTACGGCTGGTTTGGCATCCAGTCAGCGGACGTCTTCGCCTTTTCAGTGGCTCCAGAAAAGAAAAAGTAAAATAAAAGCTGCCGAGGGCCTGAGAGCACGTGTCGGGGTTGGAGGATCCAAAATTACATCTGCCCTTTAAAAAATCATGCACTTTATCAATCAGCACGCAGAATCGGTTCTGACTGGATCTGATCCGTGTCTAAATCCTGTTTAAATCCCTTTTTGCCTCCTTTGAGTTGCTGTAAGTCTGCCAACGTCTCGCTGCTGCATCAACAAAGTTTCCTCACATGACTCACCGTGTTGTTACCTGAGATGTCCATGTGCTTCCTTCTGTCTTTGTCTGATGGGATTTGAACCGCCGCTCCTTTGCAGCAACATGCACCACGTTTCTTTCTTTTATTTATTATTTTTTATGCGCCACAATCCTTCTGTAATTAGGTGCTGCTGAAAAGACACTTTTGAAAACCCACCAGAATGTCTGACGCTCACCTCCCATCTGTCCAAAGTGCTTCTTCTAACGTCCGTCTCTGCTTGTTTTCTGCAGGGCACCAAGTTTGATGAGCCGTGTGCAGGTCTGGACTGCAGTGGAGGCTGCAAGTGCAACCCAGAGAAAGGCAGCAGGGTGAGTCGAGTGCATGAGGCCTTCTTGGCTGCTGTGGGATTAACCTCCATGTTTCAAACAGCCCAAAAACACTCTTCACGTGCACAGTTTTCATCGGGTTCGGCTGCGATCAGGGACGGTTTCTGCTCGCAAGACGTGTGATTTTCTCCTCCTTTCGAGTTCAGAAACTGTCTTCCACATGTAATAACTGTTGTTCTGTGGCCTCGTCACCTCTCTGCTTCTGACATTTTGCCAGGAAGAAGCACTATTTTAGCTAAAAACAGGGTCTTCTAGCAAAAAGCAGCTGAATGAGGTGTTTCTGAGCTCACACACTTGAGCACACTGATCATTTCACAGCCTTTAATGTGCAAACAGACGTAACATTTCAGCAGCACTGAGTCAAAGTGGAACAAAGACACGAGGCTTTGTCAAACAGGGTGTCGAATCTACTGCATGATGAATCCGAGAGCGTGCGACGCCAAAACACTACTTTAGCTCTTTTAAATCACAGAACACTTTGCAGCCCTCGTGGTTGACCGTAAACGTACGACAGCGAGTCATTTATTCAGCAGGAATGATGATAGCAAGTTACCAATATAATGAGCGTAATCCTTTGGTTGTGAAGCTAATATGCAAATATGGAGCGTCAGTGTTACACATTTATGTCAACCGTCTAAAATGAACAGTACAAATAAACAGCATGAACAGTTTTCAGACTCTGCTGTCAAATAGTCAGACTTTTTAGGAGATTTATTTCTTACATTATGCTGCTTTCTATGGAAATATCTTCACTCATCCGTCGAGACAAGCAGAGAAAAATGTGTAACTGTGTCGACACATTTTGTCATTTTTGGCATTTACACAAACCCACAAGTGGGTTTTAGTTTTTGAGACGCATTACTGGGAATTTTAAACAAAATAAACAGGAGTAATTTCAGACATGACACATTCTTTTCCTAAAAACTGTAATAACTTTAAAGTGAAACTCGTTTCCATCACCAGTGAGCTTGAGTGTCATTTTCTGACTATAAATAAATGTGGAAGCATAAAGACAGACGGTATCAGTGTGTCATCTTCAGAGTTTAATCTCTCATCAGCACATCGTCCAGGACACGTGTTTTATCTCATACTCGTTGTCTGGAGAAGGTCGATCGTCTCTTATCTGCAGACTAATCGTGTTGTTACTGGCAGCTACGCAAACCCACAAAGACGTGCTCAGTTTCTGAGGATACTTTCATTTCATCTGAGGTTTCAATTACAAACAGTTGTTGAGGGAATTTAATTTTGGGAAACGAGCACTTCGTCCTGACTTAATTAAGAACAAAAGACCACAAGGCTCCAGTTGGAGCTCTTATCTAATTCCATCACAGCTACGCTCATTAACGCCCACAGACGTCGTCACCTATTGACACAATATCAAAGTGGAGCCTGTGTAGTACATGTTCCGACAGTCCTTATCTATGGATGCATTGTGATTTCTCACAGACAAACACTAAACAGTCCGTGGCTGCAGGCGAGGAACTCATTTTGTTGTCACTGCTACCATGAAATTACCATCAACTGTCATCTGGTACCAAGAACAAACACATGTTGGCAGAATGTGAGCTGATCTGCTCATTGATGATTGACTGTGTGTTAGCAGCATTAAGCCCACGTACATACATGTATACACACATGTCTCTCACCTGTCAGCTGCTCCGTAGCGATAAAAAGTAGTTAATTTATGGCTCCATCTCATAGTGACAGTGAGAGGAAAGTTTCTTACGTCAACATCAACCTGCTGGCTTCATATAAATTCTAAGACGGTGATGACATTGAAAATATTTCAGCATCATCATCATCATGTTGTCGGAGGGGATTATTAAAGACGTTACTGTCTTTAAATTCTGCAGCTGTTGACCATCACAGTAAAACAACAAGCGCATTAAACAGATTTAATTAGAACGTTATGATGAGTTTTGATGCTTCAGAGCGAATGGAAGAAACTAAAACGAGAAGAAAAAAAAAAACAGCAGACGCATCTGAATTTAAGACAAAACTGGTGCAAAACTTTAAAACCACATCAGTCCACCTTTATGCCCAACATAGATCACTTGTTAACAGCTCATTTAAGTTTGTTATAGAATAAATAACATAAAGTCAGACTGCACACAGGTGGCTGCATTAAAATACATGCATCTACATTGTGTGATATTAACTGACAAACTGGACAAATTTAAAGACACTGATCCAAATCTGTGAAAAAAAAATCCTTCACCGAGTTTCGGGAAATTCAATGAGGTAGTTTTTGCATAAATCTGCATAAAGACAGACTAAACATGACCGAGACAAGACAAACCTGGACACAGAAATTAAACCGATGCCCTTTAATCTCAACGATCAACTCCATGTAAATAATAATGACAGAGTCAGATGTCACCTGTTGATCAAATCGAGCTGCGTGCAGCCAAAACAACTTGGCAGGTCAACCTCTATGTGGCCTGAGAGACAAAACCCAGGGAAAAAACACAGACAATCATGATCTTAACACTCAGTGTGGCTGTAATTTAATTATTAAAAGTGACCCAAATTAAAAGATTTTATCTTCCATCACCTTCAGCACCAAGCAACTCAGCTGCCCTGGGTTTTGCCTCACAGGCTGTCAACAAAAAGTTGTGACTTCTTCTGCATGTTTTTTTCTTGTGCAAAAGGATTTAATCTTCTCCAAAATCACATATTATTCATTCAAAACAACAGCGTCCTGTTGTTTCATCAGGATATTGGGAGGATGGGGGAAATTACGCCCCAGAACGTCGTCCTTTATGTGGTTTTAATATTCTACCTTCACATGAAAGCCGGTGAAGTTTCTGTCCAGCTCTCTTCGCAATGTAAAGGACGGAGTGATGTTTTTGGTAGGATGCCAGGACGCCGGCCTGTTTTTGCATCATTTGAGGAATGAAGCATCAGGTGAGGCCTCCGTGTGTGTTCACCAGACTGACTGTAAGCCTCGCGCTGTAGCTCGGTCTCTCTCAGCCTGTATCCAAACAACAATTACTGTCTGACACAGAAGCCTGCACTTACTGCCTGCCTACTGTACGCCACCTCGGCTAAATAACACAGTGACGAGCGCCGCATTACAGCCAGCTACCTGAAGGTAAATGATATAGCTCAGGTAATACCCCCTGCCCCTGGACGGGCCTCCTGCTCGGCCCAAATGACACAGCCGCGGACGCTTTAGCTTCTTTAACTGTTATTGTCGGGAGCCGTTTTAGCGTTAAGGTGCTTATTTGTCTCTTTTCAGTTTTACTTTTGTACTTGCAGGTCGGCGGGGTGAAGTGTGTCCTCGATCATAGCTGTTAACTCCCGTCTCGTGACAGGTGGAGGTCAGCGAGATTCAGGGTCCGATGCCTCAAACCAACCTGCTTCAATTTTACTCTAAAATGAGACATTAATGCGATTAAAAACTAGATCCTGCTTGTGTAGTATTTTAAAAATGCATTCATCCAAAATAAATTCATCTTTATGGTAACAAATTAACTTTATTTGACTTCGATCGGCTGTAAAATCCTTTATTTTAAACTGGAAAACAAACCAGTGCCACCAACAGGGAAGAGTAATTATCTTCCTCTTTCTTTTACCCATTAGTCTGCCCTCATTTCATTTAAAAAAATACAAAACATGTTAAATATCTAGACTCAGTGTGACTCCTTTAGACTCCATGTTCTGTCCAGTCATGCTAAATGAAAAAAGAACAGCAAATATTTGTATTTATGAATCTGGCACAAGTGAATATTAGTTGATAAATTAGCAAAAACACGTAAAGACGTGTAAATGTACTTCCAAAAGTGTAATAACTGGACATAATGAGCCTTCTACTTGAGTCTATTTTCAGTTTATAAGCTGGAGGCTTCACGATCCGCGTCTCAGTTATAAAGATTTAAATGTCACCAAATTACGGTTAAACGTCTGAAACTCTGATTTAATGTAAATACAAACAAATCTCAGCAGACAGATGCAAAAGCAGTCTTCCATTGTGACACTCAGCACATTTAAAAGAGCCGACATGAGCAACGAGATAATAAATAATGACCAGATTTAGTGATGCCGTTTGCATCATTACCAGAGGATGAGAGTTCAGTTATCTTCCATCTGCAGCCCTCAGATCCTCTCCAGGACACCTGCAGCCTCTCACCTCTCAGGTGTCCATCACAGCTCTGCTTCCACAGCGTAAGATGTTCCTTCAGTCAGTCAAATACTTTCCCCTCATTTTCTATTTTAAGAGCAGTTTGCTTTGGACCAGAATCAGTCGACTGTGTTTTTCCGACGTGACTTCAGAGCGTGTTCGCTGTCAGGCTTCACGTGGACGTAAATCGTGTCTGTTATGTCACGCCCCACAAACTTTGGCACCTTTTTGCTAAAATAAAAAAAAATAAAAATAAGCCGTCATGTAATGAGATGAATCAAAGGGGTTTGACAGACGAACTGACAGCACATAAATGTTGTCTCATATAATTTTAGTGATGCTCTGTTGATCCCTGAGGGGGAACGTTGCCGTTGCCTGTCAGCAAACCGAACCCTGTCCCTGAACCAGAACAAATGAGGGAGTTTATCAGGAGTTCATGTCTAACAGGAGTCCATACCTGGGTTTTACGGATGTTTTTACAGAAGAAACCTCATTTAAAATGCGCTTGTTTTTATATTTACGTAGAAAAATGAGATTTATTATACTTTAAAGGGACAGTTTTCAGAGTCAGATGAGAGGATTGATAAAAACTAGGAGCAGGTTGGCTCAGCTTAGTGTTGAATAAGGGGTGGAAACGGAAAACCTGGCGCAATCTGGAGGAAAAAATGCCTTCCAACTAATCTAATTGACACCATATAACTATCTTTTTTTTATTTTGACAAAGCTCTGAGTGTAAATTGACAAATTGCAGTTTTAAGAGAGGTTATGATCCAGATTATTTTCCCCTGAAGACAGAATTTGACAAACTGCGCCCTCAAACACATAATTTAAACAATTTTTTACAAGGAAAAGTCATACA